AACAACACAGGATGGTTAGGAAAAAGCAGCCCAGCGTCCGCTGGGCCCCCGGGGTCGCCCCGTCGACATCGAGCTCCACAGCGCCATTGGGCAGGTTCACATACGAAGCCAGCCTGCCGGGGAGTGCCCCCTCGAGAAGGAGGAGCCACGAGCGACGAGCGTGCCCACATCCAGAAGGATGCAGGAGCAGGGGCGATGAGTCAAGAGCGCCAGGTGGAATGCAGGAGCAAGAGCAGGACGCAGGAACGCAGGCGCAGTAGTGACCCTCGAGAGCTTATCAATCCCCACGCAGGCCAGAGGACGCTCGGGATCTCGCGAAGCCCAAGGCGGACGCAGGATGTGTGCCCAGATGTCTAAGACGCCTACGGCGAATCACCGCCGCCCCATGCCTTGTGGAAACGCCCATATGCCCAAACGTTGGGCCGAAGTCAGACCAAGCTATTGGACTATATGTTCCCCCAGCCGTTGTGTAACCCCTGAGGGGGAACATTGGGGAGAGGAAGAGAAAGGAGGAGGCGGAGGAGGCGGAGGAGGAGGAGGAGGAGAGGGAGGAGAAGGAGGAGGAGGAGGAAGAAGAAGAAGAGCCCGCTTGAGGCTTCCTGGGGGCTTCCTTGGAGCCTCCTGGGGGTCTTTATGAGGCCTCTTGGGGATATCATGGGGCCTCTCGGGGTTCTCCTGCCTTCGGAGGCCGTCTTGGCATCCGCTTTGGGGACGTCTTGTAAGTCTCTGGGGCCGTCTTGGGGTCGTCGTGGGGGCCTCTTGGGATGGTGATACCCTATTTGACAAGTTTGCTGGCCTCTTGGGGGCCGTTTGGGAAGTCTTGGGGCGAGCTTGGGGGCCTGTGGGCCCGTCTTGGGGCGTCGGAAGCCCACAAAGGCGAAAACGCTAAAGTCATTATAACACCAATGCTGTTGGTCTCCTGGAGGTCCTGTTAGAGCTCTCTAAGGGGCCTGTTGGCATTCAGAGGCCGTCTTGGTCCCTCCCTGGGCAGTCGTGGGTCCATCTTTGGGCGCTTTAAGGCCGTCTTGGAGGTCTCTGGGGCCGTCTTGGGGGCCTCTTGGGCTGTCTGGGGGCCCTCTTGGGTCCTCTTGGGGCCCTCTTGGGGGCCTCGTGGGCCGTCAGGGGGCCATCTGGGAGGCCTCTTGGGCGCCCTTCGGGCCATCTTGGTGGCCTCTGGGGCCGTCCTGGGCCGTCTGCAAGCGGGAAATGAGCGAACGCCAGAATCCTTCAAAAACGCACGGAGTATCCCAGATTCTGATCTCTTCGGGCTGGGCGTCCAAACTTTCAGCCCTCCGACCTATCGGCGGTGTATCGCCGATGTCGGGCCAATGGCACCCCAGCCCCCGAGCCAGTCCCCCCTTTATCCTTGTCCCTCGCCTCCCCGCCCCATCGCTTCCCGCACCCACTGCGGGCGTCCCAACTCCCAGCCCTCGCGACGCCGCTCCGCAGCCAACGCTGGGCGCTCGAGACTGGCCCTGGCCCGCCTTCGGACGGTGCTGGGACGAGGGGAAGTCCGTCCCAGAGCGTTCCAGAAAAGTTCAAACGCTCTCAGAGCTCAGAACTTCCCGGAACGCTCTGAGAAAGCCGCGGCGCCATCCTCCAGAGCCGCCAGATCTCAGAGATTCTCGATTTACGGTCGGACCGAGGTCGGTTCGGGGAGGGGCCCCTAATATTCCCCATGTTTGTTGGATGCTCTTGTGCATCCTGGGGGAGGGTACCCTCGAATGTTTGTTTTTCTGTTTGGCCAGCGGAAGGCCTCATATTCTTGAATCGACCGCACGAAAGAGTGACCCTTCGCCGGAGTGACCTTGGATGCGGGCCCACTGGGGTCCCCCGATCGCCGAGCGCGGTGCGCTAATGGCGTCTTGCGCGCTAATGGCGTCTTGCGCGCTAATGGCGTCTTGCGCGCTTGTGTCTGGCCCCCCGCGGCCCCACCAGAAGCCGCGCACCAAATGCCACTCTTACCCAGGGCCGCTCCTGCGTGTAGCCGCTTGCAGGATACTCTTCTGTCATGCGGTCCAGCCGCATCTCTGGTTGACCCAAAGGGTTGTCCAGCGACAAGGAGGTGGTGCAATAGATTTGTTCGGCTGCAATATATTTGGGGCGTGCAAGACATTCCAGTGCGCAGGAAGGTATTGCTGGAATTTCGCGTGCGACGCACTAGTTGCAACACAATGCAATACGGCTACCTGGCGCAATGCCTGCGCAATACATGTACCCCCCAAACCTGGTGCACCATTCCCTGTTCGCCTGGACCCCCTTCGGATCAACCAGAGCATCCTCGCCCCGGCTTGTCCTCGTCCCGGCTCCTTCCTGCGCCCCACCCCCTCCTTGGGCGCCGCGTAATGGGGGGGGGTCATACATGGGGGGGGGGGGGGGGGGGGGGGCGAGAGTGGCTCGAAAAGGCACCCAGACGGTACCTCAACGAGCCCCCATGGGGCTCTGGAGGGGCCCGAAAGGAGCACGAGAGGGGACCTCTTCTGATCCCCCCGTTGATGACCCCCCCCCTTAAGTCCCGCCCCAGCCCCGCGCGGCGGGCCCACCGCCTCCGCCCTGGCGCGGGGGCGCGGGGGCGCTCGGGCAGCGGCGCCCTGGCCCTCCGCGCGGCGCGCGCGGCGGCCTCGGCCTCCACGACGGGCGCCCTGGCGGCCTCCACGCGGGGCACGGTGGCCGGCCGAGGGCTGCGACAGGTGCCCCTGGCCTCTGCCCATGGGCCGCTGATCGGGGGCGGAAAAGAGGGGGGCGATGACTAGGGGGGGGTGGGGTATCATGGCGGGGGCCATGATCTTTCCCCAGATCTCATGGCGCCTCTTCTTATTTCATTACGTCCCTGGCCCCCCCGCTGGGCCGCGCACATGCCGCCGGTCATGATTTGCACCCCCCCCTCTTGGACACCCCCCTCTTGGCCGCTCCCAAGTTGAAAGCAGGTACTGTTGGAGTCCCAGACTCCAGTCTACTTCAAGCACATTCCTAATTACTTCAGTGATCGAGTGGCTTCACCTTTTCCGTCCTATGCAGGGGGCGGGCGGACACCCAGTCTACTTTCAACGCCTGCCTACTTCATGTTTCTACCTACTTCTTCCGACAGATGGGTACAATAAGGTGTCCCCAGCTTCCCGCTCCACTTTGGAGCCCCTCGGGCCCTCTGGGCCTCGCGAGGGGTGCTCTGGAGGCCGTGGGGGCTACCTTGGAGATCCTGGGTCGCAGCGGCTTGGCACCAAGGAGCACAGATGTTCTGGATCGGCGCTGGTGCAAGAGCCGCCCGGCGGCGCCTCCCGGCGCCGCGCGCTGGGCGCCCGATCCAAGAGATCCGAGCGGATTTCCGAGAGTCATGTCGTTGCTTGTTCCCCGAGGTCCAGGGCTGAGTCGGTCAGAGGAGGGCCAGCTGAGACAGCGGCAGTTGGCCTTCGGGGGGGGGGGCCCTCGTCGCCGCGGCTGGACGCAGCTCGGAAAGTAGGGGAACAAAAAGTGACATAAACATAAAAACTCGGAGGTCCGCGCGGATTTCTCGGATCGGCGCTGGGGCCCCCTGGCGGCGCCTCCGGCGCCGCCCCTGGCGCTCTCCGCGCGCCAGGGAGGGGGGTCCAGCGCCGATCCGAGAAATCCGCGCAGACCTCCGAGTTTTTATGTTTATGCCACTTTTTGTTCCCCTAGAAAGCTGGTGCGATGGGACCTCGGGAGAATTTTCCAGGAACCGATCTTGAGCTGCCGCTCCCTCGCCTCGTCCTCCTCGGGGCTCGGGGGACTGGGCTCCGGCCGGGGCAGGCGCGTCGACACCCCGCTCCGCCTGTAGTAAGCGCCGAGGAGGAGGAGGAGGAGGAGGAGGAGGAGGAGGAGGAGGAGAGGAGGAGGAGGAGAGGAGGAGGAGGAGGAGGAGGAGGAGGAGGAGGAGGAGGAGGAGGAGGAGGAGGAGGAGGGAGGAGGAGGAGGGAGGAGGAGGAGGAGGAGGAGGAGGAGGAGGAGGAGGAGAGGAGGAGGAGGATGGGGAGGAAGAGGGGGATAGGGAGGAGGAGGAGGAGGAGGAGGAGGAGGAGGACGACGAGGAGGAGGAGGAGGACGTGGGGCCCGATGGCCCCCGCCCCGCCCAGGGAGCGTGCGTGCGGCTTCGCCGTCGGGGGCCTACCACCGCCGCATCGGGGATGCGTGGCCGATTCCAGGCCGAGGCTTCCCCCCATGAGCGGGTATAGCCAGGCCCCCAGAGAAGGCTCCTCCTCCTCCTCCTCCTCCTCCTCCCTCCTCCTCCTCCTTCTCCTCCTCTCCTCCTCCTCCTCCTCCTCCTCCTCCTCCTCCTCCTCCTCCTCCTCGGTTCGTAGTAGGGCCCCAGAGCCCCCAAAGATGCCAGAGTCACCGATCCAGGCCTGCCGCAGCTGGTGTTTTTTCGGGCGACGGCAGCTCCGGCTCGCGGAACGGGGCGGGGGGGGCGTCCCCCGGTACACATTACTAAACCAGGTCCCCCTAAACCCAGTTCTGCCAGCTCCCCGACATGAGCCGGTCCCCCCCTAACGCTCCCCCTCAGGTAGCGGCAAGGGCGTCCTCCGCAGTCGGAGTCGGCGGGTGTTGAGCGATGGACGGTGGGGCCTCGTTCGCCGCCGCCGCCGACGAGAGCCTCGAGGGCCTCTCGGCGCTCCAGCAGCGCCTGGAGGCGAGGCTGGGCCTGATGGCGGAGGCCCTGTGCGGCGTGCAGGAGGACGTCGGCGCGCTGGCCGGCCTGTGCAAGCAGGCGGCCTCGGGCAAGCCGCGGGGCGTCCCAGAAGCCCGTGGCACCCCAGGGGCCACGGGGCTTCCAAGAAGTCGAGGGGATCTGGTGGAGCTTCGGTGCCCGCACGAGGTGTGGGACACGCCCTCCGCATCGGAGGATCTCGCGACGGGGGCCAGCGATTGGCCCCAGACCGTCGTGCTGCGGCCCTGCTTCGCGGAAGCTCTAGGGATGGATTCAGGGCATCCGCGCTCTCTTGTCCAACCTGCGTCCGTCAAAGTTTCTATGTTCAATGTGGAATCGGCATCATTACCTGGGAGTGAACAGGAGGAAGAGTCACTGAAGCGACCGCACTTCACAGAAAGGTACATCCAGTTGCCTGCGGCAAATCCCTGCCAGTGCCGGCGCAACAGCGCAGCATCGAAGAGTTTGAATTCTTAACGCGCCGCGTATCTCCACCAGTCCATCCACGGACGCTGCCCCAGGGAGCTTCCCTTATCGGGGGAGCGTCGCATAATTTGGAGAGCTCGGGGAGCCTCCGTGGGCCAGCGGCTTCTTGGATGTCTCTCGGAGTCTCTTGGGACGTCCATCGGGGTCTCTTGGAGGCCTCTTGAGGCGTCTTGGGGGATTCCTGGCGGCTCTTGAGGGCCTCTTGGAGCGCCTTGGGGGCTTCCTGGGAGCCTATGAGGACGTCTTGGGGGCCTCGTGGCGGTCTCCAGAGCCTCTTGGAGCGTCCTAGGTGTTCTTGAGGGCCTCTTGGGAGCATCGTGGGCCGATTTGTGCCTTCTTGGGGGCATCGTGGAGCCTTCTTGGAGCGTCTTGAGGGCCTCCTGGCGGCTCTTGAGGGCCTCTTGGTGCACTTTGGGGCCTCCTGGGGGCCTCTGAGGACGTCTTGGAGGCTGCGCAGCGGTCTTCAGAGCCTCTTGGAGCGTCTTGGGTGTTTCTTGAGGGCCTCTTGGGGCCTCTTCGGGGCCTCTTGGGCCGACGTGGGGCCCTTTGGGGGGCCTCTTGGGTTGTCTTGGAGCTATATTGGAAGCATCTTGGCCATCTCTTAAGCTGTTTGGAGGCCATGGACGGGGGCCTCTTGAGTAATCTTCCTCCATCTAAGGCCGTCTTGGTGTCATCTTGGCTGTCTTGGAAGCCGTCTTGGAGGTCATCATGGCCGTCTGGAAGCTTAAACGAGCGCTGGATAGCAAATTCGGGGGGGCGATCTCGGGAAGACGCGCGCTGCCTTGTGGGAGATCGCCGCTAGAAAGGCTAAAGAAATCTATAACTAGACAGCAGAAGAGCATGACGGAAAAAGCGGGTTACGAGTGAGGACGTTCTGGTGGGGCGCAAGTCCCCTAAGAAGAGTTCCACTGGAGGAGCGAAGCGGGACCAATCCCAGGTGACACGCCCGCCTTCCCCCCAAGAAGGCCCAAGAAGCCCCAAGAGGTCCCCAAAATTGCCCAAGAGAGGTCCCAGAGGGCTCCGAGGCGGCCCAAGAGCGTTCCAAGAAAGCCCAAAACCGCCATAGCGAATTCGAAGATGGCCTCAAGACGGCCCAAGGGTGCCCAAGACAGCCCAAGAGGCCCTCCAGTGGACCCCCCTGAGGGCCAACAATTGTGATGTCCGTTTGATGTATCAATGTTTTTGGATGTCTCGCCTTTTCGGGCTTCCGAAGGCCCACGACGGCCCAACAGGCACGACAGGTTGCCGCACGACAGCCCATGTGGCTCCCAAGAGAGCCCCAAGAGAGCCCCAGGACGGCCCCAGAGGGCTCCAAGATTGGCCCAGAAGAGCCCAAGAGGCTCCCATGAGAGCCCCCAGAGGGCCACGGGAGGCCCCAACGAGGGTCGGACAGGGCCCTGAGAGGGCCCCAAGACGGCCCAAGCTCCCAAAGACGGCCCGAGAGGCTCCCGGGCAAGAGTACCCCCCAGACGGTTCGACGAGAGAAAAAATAGTACAGCTGCTGTGAGTGCTTATTGTTGTTTGGTTTTTCGTTGTGTCAACCCCAGATCAGCCGAAGACGGCTCTGAGGGCTTCCGAGACTGCTCCAAGATGGGCCAGGAGGCTTCCAAGAAGGTCCCAAGACGGCCCTGGAGGGCCCCAAGACGGCCACAGGGAGACCCGAGAGGGGCCAAAGAGGGCCCCAAGAGACTTCCAAGAGAGCCCAAAAAGGCCACAGGGGGCTGCCCAAGAGTCCCCCAAGAGCCAAAGCCTCCCAAGACGGCCCAAGAGGCGCTCAGGACGGCCCAAAATGCTCCCAAGAGGATCCCCAAGACAGCCTGAGGAGGCAAAACACATTGATTGTTTTGTTGCTTTGTTGTGTGTTGGGTTTCGCCTATTCGGGTCCAGATCGGCCGAAGACAGCTCTGAGGGCCTCCGAGATTGCCCCAAGGCTCACCAGAGGGCTCCAAGACGGCCCTCGAAGGTCCCAGGACGGCCACAGAGACCCCCAAGACGGCTCAAGAGGGGCCCAACAGAGCCCCAAGAGGCTCCCAAGAGAGCCCCCAGAGTGCCGTCGGAGGCTGCCAAGAGGGCCGAAGAGGGCCCCAAGAGAGCCAAAAGACGGACCAAGCCCCCCAAGACGGCCCAAGTGGGCCCCGAAAACAGCCCCAGAGGACCCCAAGACGCCCAAAAGGGCACCCAGAGAACACCCCCCCAGACGGCCCAATGACGGACGAAGCATTGATGCCAAGGCTCCCAAGAGCATCAGGTGATTGGAAAGCTCTTTTCACACGAGTCAGTGACGTAAAAAGCTTTGAACGCCGAGGGCCCCAAGAGCGAGCAGAGGCGCAGAAAGTTCTGAATGCCAAGGCTCCCAAGAGCGAACGGTGACGTAAGCAGCTCTAAATTCCCAGGCTCCCAAGAGCGAACGGTGACGAAAACGCGCACGCACACACACACACACACACACACACACACACACACGCCAAGGCTCCCAAGAGCGAGCAGTGACGTAAGCAGCTCTTAACTCTCAGGCACCCAAGAGCGAACGATGATGCAAACAACTCTTTACACCAAGGCTCCCAAGAGCGAACGATGACGCGACACAGCTCTTAACGCCAAAGCTTCCAAGTGCGAACGATGACGTGAGTCCTCTCGGACAAGTTCCTGAAGCGCTCTCCCCGTTCCCGTGCCAGCCCAGGTGACAGAAAGAGCGAGGTACGAGTGATGACGTTCTGGTGGGACGAAGCCCTCGAGGGAGGGGGCCCAGGGAGGGGGCAAAGCGGAGCACACTGGCGTGCTCTGCCCTCCCGGCCCCAAGACGGCCCAAGAGGCGCCCAAGACGGCCTAAGATACCCCCGAGACGAACCAACAGAGGTCTAGGACGGTTTCGATACGGCCCAAGAGCGCCCCAAGAATGCCCAAGAGCGTTTCAAGATGGCCTACGATGGCCTCAAGATTGTCCAAGAAGGCCCCAAGACGGCCCACGAGGCAGTCTAGAGGACCCTCCCTAGAGAGCCTCAGGAGACCAAAAGCATTGATGAACGATGGGTTTTTAACGATGCTAGCTTTTTCGGGCTTCCGACGAGCCAAGACAGCCCCAGAGGACCCAAAGTTCGCCCCAAGACGGCCCAAGAGCCCAGAGGGGCCCCAGAGGCTCCCAAAAGAGCCCCAAGAGGGCCATGGGAGGCCGCCAAAATGACCAAAGAGGGCTCCAAGACGACCAAAGCTCCCAAAGACTGCCCAAGAGACTCCTGAGTCGGCCCAAGAGCCTCCCCAGAGGACCCCCCAGACGGCCTGAGGAGGAACAACATGTTGATTCTTCATAGGCGTTCCATTGTTTTTGGGTGTTCGCCTTGCCGGGCTGAAGAGGGCCCCAAGAAGCCCAGGTAAGCGCAAGAGCGCCACAGGAGGCCCCAAAGAGAACCCGAGACGACCCCAGACGACCCAAACCCTCCAAGACGGCCCAAGAGGCTCCGAGGACGGTCCACGAGCCTCCCAAGAGGACCCCCGAGACGGCTTGAGGAGGCCAAAAACATGGAGTTTCCTTTAATACCTCTCTTGTTTTGGGGGTTCTCGCCTTTTTGGACGCAGGCTGGCCGAAGACAGCTCTAAGGGCCTCCGAGGTTACCCCAAGACGGCCCAGGAGGCTCCCAAGAGAGCCCCAAGACGGCACAAGAGGGCCCCAGGATGGCCACAGTGAGCCGCAAGATTGTTTAAGAGGTGCCCACAAGGCCCCCAAGAGGCCCCCAAGAGAGTCCCAAGAGTGTAGGAGGCCCAAGAGAACCCCAAGAGGGCCCCAAGACGGGCCAAGCCCCCCGAGACGGCCCAAGAGGGCTCCAGAACGGCCCAAGAGGGCCCCAAGTCACCCCAAAGAGCCCCCAGCGGACCCCTCCTTGACGGTCAAATGACGAACGCAGCTTTGACGCCAAGGCTCACACGAGCACCAGGTGACCGGAAAGCCTTTTGCACACGAGTCGGTGACGCAGACATTTTTGCACGCCACGAGTCTTAAGAGGGAGCAGTGGGCCCGAAAGTTCTGAACGCCCAGGCTCCCCAGAGCGAACCTTGACGTAAACAGCTCTGACTACCAAGGATCCAAGAGCGAACGGTCACGTAAACAGGTCTTAACTCCCAGGCTTCAAGAGTGAACGGTGACGTACACAACTCTTCACACAAAGGTTCCTACGAGCAAGCGGTGACCTAACAGCTCTTAACGCTGAGGCCCCGAGCGAACGATGCGAAAACATAACGAAGTTTGCGCAGTATCAATCGGAGCCGAGGCTTCTCTGAGGGCCGGCGGGTGGGCGCAACAAAGTAGAACCACCGAGTTCGGCCATGAAAGTGTGGTCTTCCAACCCCCCCCCTAAGGAGGCTTAGGGGGGGGGGGTGCCATCAGCACTCCAACACGAGTTTGTATATACTACGCCAGGGGAGTTAGGCACAGTGGAGGTAAAGATTTGCAATGCCCCCGGCCTCGGGCAGGAGGGCCGGTGCCTCGGAAATTCAAGGGGGTACAGCGCCTCGGGAATTCAAGGGGGTACACTGCTTGCTTGAGCCCCAGCCCTTGAGCCAACCCAGAAACGCAGTTTGCTTCAATTTTCCCTCCCCCCGCCTACGTGGCCATGTTGGCTCGAGAGCAAATGCTTACTCACAGTTTGGCGTAGGGCGCGAGAAGCTGAGCGGAGATCGATACCGTGAAAGAGCTCTTCGCACTGAGGCCTCCAAGAGCGAACGGTGACGTGAAAATGCCGTTCACGCCGAGGTCCCCAAGAGCGAACGGTGCCGTGAGCCCTCGGGCGAGCTCCCGAAGAGCTCCTCGGTGTCCCGTGCCTGCCCAGGTTCTGACACGCCCATGCCGTGCTGGCACGGCGGCGGGTCATTGGCCCTCACTCCAGAAACGTCCTCATGTTCAAGGCGTTCAGCGTCCTCATACTGCTGTGCGACCTGGTCATGGTGCCGTACATGCTCGCCTGGAAGAGCCCCTACGAGGGTTGGATGTTCGCGGCGATGTTGTTTTCTGCCCTGTTCTGGGTGCTGGACATGGGGTCCAAATTCATCACGGGGTATGTCAAGGACTACCATGTGCAGATGAGGCCCATGGACATTGTTATGCACTATGTGCGCACCCGGTTCCTTCTCGACCTCCTCTTTGTCTGTAGCGATTGCTGCAGTTTGGCCGTCCTTTACAGTGCGGGCGCCCCTGGTGCGCCCTGGATCTTCCACGCCATGCGCGTCCTCAAAGCAGGGCGTTTGTTACATATCAGGAGTTTGCTTAATGAGAGCGCAATCATCATCACCGACGAAAAGTACCACAGTTCTATGATGTTCGCCGTCGTTATCGCTGGGGCCCTGTGGCTCAACCACCTCATGAGCTGTGCATGGCATGCCCTCGGCACCCGCGCCAACTCTGATACTTGGCTGTACTGGGTAGAGACCGTGGGAATCGACTATGCGGAGTCAAGCGAGCTCTACCAGTATTTGAGCTCTCTGCACTGGAGTGTTGCCACATTCTTGGGTGGCAATGTCGAGATCTACTGCCGCAACTCCAGCGAGCGCGCGGTTTCGATTGGTTACACTATGGCAGGCCTCGTGTACGTGTCTGTGCTCATTTCTTTGCTTTCGGCCGCGCTGGTCGACAGAAATGAAGCAATGAAGCAACAGACCCACAGGCTTGTGACGCTTCGCCGCTACCTGCGGGAGAGGAAGGTAAACCAGAGGATCGCAATTCTCGTGCAGCAGCAGGTCACCGAGCGCATCGGCAAGAAAGAACAGCTCACCGAGAGGGAGGTAGAGAGCAGCATGGGCTATCTGTCTAAAGCCCTGCGGTACGAGCTGAGGCTGGACATGTTCCGCCGCTACATCACCACGCACCCACTGTTCGGACTCTGGTTCGACATGGACAAGAGAGCTCTGCAGCTGCTCTGCGCGGAGACGCTGGGCTTCAGCGACCTCCGCGCCGCGGACGAGCTCTTCACCGCCGGGGCGGAGGCGGGCAAGGCCTACCACCTGATCAGGGGATCACTGCAGTACTCGCGGGACCACGTCGGGATGGCGAGGGGTCCGGGCGGCTCCACGCGCGTGGAGCCTGAAGCGTGGCTCTCGGAGGCGTGTCTGTGGGCAGAGTGGAAGCACGCCGGCACCGCGGAGGCGCTGGAGACCTCCCAGGTGCTCTCCGTGACAGGGGAGGGCATCAGCCAGGCCATGGTAAAAAATCCGCACGTGCAGGAGATCACCGTGGAGTATTGCAGGCTATTCCACCAGGCTATCGTCAGCGCCCGTCCACCAGAGGCGTACCCAGACGACCTGCAAGTGCCGCACGCCGAGTTCAGCAATCTCGTCTTGAATATGGACCGAGATATCCAAGTTACGGTGGGCTTGCACGCAATTGCCAAGATGAGGGTGCAAATTGGCGTGGGCCTCTTCAGGATAAACTTGCCCGGCCAAGATGATAAGCTAGAGGCGTTGAGGAAGGAGGTTGAGTCAGGAAAGAGTACGGTCATGGTGAACGCGCGTGGCGAGGTCGAGCGCTTCGTCTCCTTGGTAGCGGTCAGGCTTCTCAGCGAGGATAAGTTGTTGGTGCAGCTTGCGAAACAGGAGAAGGCCCAAGATTTCCTCGTCGAATGCGCGCTGCCTGCGCAGAAAAAGCCGTTGGGTCTGAGCGTGGAGGATTCCCTCAGCAAGATCCTAGCGGAGAAGCTGAGCGATTTTGTCGGTGACGCCGAGCCCGCGGTGCAGAACATCCCGCAGCCCGAGGAGCGAGTGGAAGAGTCGAAGCTCTTTGGTATCAACACGAAGTACTTGCGCTACGTTTGCACCGTGCGTGTCGAGAGTGGCGACGACTCGGTGGCGGCGATGGCGACGCGCTGGCGGCCGACCGAGAGCACCGACACGGCAGCGAGCATTCCAGGGCCCGGGCGCCGGAGCAGCCAATCGGCCCAGCTGGCGGAGGAGATGGGACCCCACAGGGGGCTGCTCGACCGGAAGGTGCACCCTGTTGGAGCCGACGGCAGGCTGGGGCAACGTTAGCGGGAGGACAGGCGCAGGGTGGCACGCCTCGGCCCCCAGTCGCCCATTTATCGCCGGTAGAGGCCCGATGGCCCACCCCGCCCAGGAGCGTGCGGGTTCTCGATCGGAGGACTATCGCCGATCTATCGGCGATGTATCGCCGATTCCAGATCGACGTTTCCACACCATGCGACGGTCCCCTGGTGGGTATTCGGGTCTTAACTCGGGCCTCCAGCTGCTCGGGATCTGTGCACCCGGGGGGTCGCCTTCGGCGAGGAGCTGCTGCTGGAAGGCATCCCGAGGCTGGGAAGCCGCCTGGAACGAAAAAAACTCCCAAGAACTTCGTACCTCAAAAACCGGCGAGCCCCTCAGGCAAGATGACGTGGTACGCGTGGGTCACGGAGGACGAGTTCGCCTTCCTGAAGCGCGCCGAGGCCTCGCCTTCCGCTCCATTTCTTTGTGATCAACTCCTCCCTGTCGCCTCCCGAGGCCAGTCGGAAAGGCGGGCCGGGCATTCGGCCTGAGATTGACCATTTTTGATCCTGAAGCTCGAAAATTCGCAAGAATTTCACGGATTGCGGGCGGGCTGTTTTCACAATCTGGTTCTCGCCTCAACGCCGCGCGCAGTCGTTACAAAAATTTGCAAGAACTTCACGGATTGAGGACGAGTCGTTTTCGAAGCGTGGCTCTGGCCATAGTGCCGTGCACGTTCGTGTTAAATTGTTGCGAGAACTTCACAGATTGAGGGCGGGTCGTTTTCAAATTGTGGTTCTCTCTTGAGTGCCGCGCATGTTCGCTTTCAATCTTGCAAGAGGTTCACGTATTGAGGGCGGGTCGTTTTCAACATGTGGTTCGCGTTTTAGCGACGCGCACGCTCGTGTTAAGCATTCGCAAGAGGTTCACGGATTCCCGTGGTCAACGTACCATTAATAGCATTTTAGAACGATTCAGAATTGTCAGGGTGCAACAGTTACGCTGATTCGCGGTGTTGAAGTCGCAGGAACGGCCTTCTGGCACGATTCAGGATCGTCAAAAAGCAACAGCCATATTGATTATAGTGGCGTTGGAATCCCGGAAATGGCTTAGGCACGTTTCAGGATCTTTAAACGGTTGTCTCCCAACAGGACACTTCCCCCTGTGGAAGTCAAGCCTTGCAAGGGCGTATGAAGAGGGAGCTTGGAGGGAGGGTTTGTTTGAGTTTACACTCCTCCTCCACCTCCTCCTCCTCCTCCTCGTCCACCTCCTCTTTCCTCTCCTCCTTCATTCGTTTTCCTTATAAGCAACTGTTCCATGTCGCCCCCCGAGGCCGGTCGCAAGGGCGGGCGGGCCCGGCGTTTCTCATGAGATCGCCTCATCATGTATGACCCTGGCGCTTAAAAGTTACCCTGGCGATGGACCCAACCATGCGCAGTTGAGAGTAATGCAATTGTGGGCATCGTCCTCGGTGAACCTCTCCCTGGGGCCACGACGCGTGCGACGGGTGTGCCAAAATTGGTGCGGGTACGCCATGCGGACGTTGCCTCCAGAGCCGTCGGTGGAGCACCATGTGAGGCCACGAAGCGTGTGAGGGGTGCCGAAGTGCAGGGAGGAACCGCGTGCGGGCGCTGCCACTGGAGCCTTTGGCGGAGCTCCCTATGGGGCCACGAAACGTGTGAGGGGTGCGCCGATATGAAGATGGAACTGCATGCGAGCGCGGCCAGCGGGGCCTTCGGTGGAGCACCCAATGATGCCACGAAACGTGTGAGGTGTGCACCGGATTGAGGTGGAACCGCATGCGGACCCTGCCAATGCGGCCTTGGGTGGAGCGCCCTATGGGGCCACCGAACGTGTGAGGGGTGCGCCGAAATTGGGGTGGAATTGCACGCGGACCCTGCCATTGGGGCCTTCGGTGGGCCACACTGTGGCCACGAAACGTGTGAGGGGTGCGCCGAAATGAAGGTGGAACTGCATGCGGACCCTGCCACTGGGGCCCTGGCTGGAACACCCTCTGGGGCCACGAAACGTATGAGGGGTGCGCCGACATGGGAGTGGAACTGCATGCGGACCCTGCCACTGGGGCCTTGGGTGGAGCACCCGATGAGGCCACGAAACGTGTGAGGGGTGCGCCGACAAGAAGGTGGAACCGAATGCGGACCCTGCCACTGGGGCCTTCAGTGGAGCTCCCAATGAGGCCACGAAACGTGTGAGGGGTGTGCCGAAATGGAGGTGGAACTGCATGCGGACCCTGCCACTGGGTCCTTCGGTGGAGGCCCACGAACCGTGTGAGTGCCGGAATGGGCATGCGGTGGGCGGGGTGGGCGCATGTAAGCGCGGCCACGGTGGAGCTCCTTACGGGGCCACGAACCGTGTGAGGGGTGTGCCGATATGGACACGCGGTGGGCACGGTGGTCGCATGTAAACGCGGCCGCTGGGGCCTTGGGTGGAGCTCCCTATGGGGCCACGAACCGTGTGAGGGGTGTGCCGAAATGGGCATGCGGTGGGCGGGGCGGACGCATGTGAACGCGGCCACTGGTGCCTTCGGTGGAGCTCCCTATGGGGCCACGAACCGTGTGAGGGGTGTGCCGAAATTGGCATGCGGTGGGCGGGGTGGACGCATGTGAACGCGGCCGCTGGACCTTTGGATTGAGCTCCCTATGGGGCCACGAACCGTGTCAGGGGTGTGCCGAAATGGGCATGCGGCGGGCGGGGTGGACGCATGTGAACGCGGCCATTGGGGCCTTGGGTGGAGCTCCATTTGGGGCCACGAACCGTGTGAGGGGTGTTCCGAAATAGGCACGCGGTGAGCGGAGCGGACGCATTTGAACGCGGCCTCTGGGGCCTTGGGTGGAGCTCCCTAGTGGGCCACGAACCGTGTGAAGTGTGTGCCGAAATGGGCATGCGGTGGGTGGAGTGGACGCATGTTAGCGCGGCCACCGGTGCCTTCGGTGGAGCTCCCTATGGGGCCACGAACCGTGCTACCTATGGGGCCACGAACCGTGTGAGGGGTGTGCCGAAATGGGCATGCGGTGGGCGGGGCGGACGCATCGCATGCGAACGCGGAAACACTGGGGCCTCGGGTGGAGCTCCCTATGGGGCCACGAACCGTTTGAGGGGTGTGCCGAAATTGGCATGCGGTGGGCGGGGTGGACGCATGTGAACGCGGCCACTGGGGCCTTGGGTGGAGCTCCCTATGGGGCCACGAACCGTGTGAGGGGTGTGCCGGAATGGGCATGCGGTGGGCGGGGCGGACGCATGCGAACGCGGTCATTGAGGCCTTCGGTGGGGCTAGCTCACTATGGGGCCACGAACAGTTTGAGGGGTGTGCCGAAATCGGCATGCGGTGGGCGGGGTGGACGCATATGAACGCGGCCATTGGTGCCTTCGGTGGAGCTCCCTATGGAGCCACGAACCGTGCTTCCCATGGGGCTACGAACCGTGTGAGGGTTGTGCCGAAATGGGCATGCGGTGGGTGGAGTGGACGCATGTTAGCGCGGCCACCGGTGCCTTCGGTGGAGCTCCCTATGGGGCCACGAACCGTGCTACCTATGGGGCCACGAACCGTGTGAGGGGTGTGCCGACATGGGCACGCGGTGGGCGGGGTGGACGCATATGAACGCGGCCATTGGTGCCTTCGGTGGAGCTCCCTGTGGGGCCACGAACCGTGCTTCATATGGGGCCACGAACCGTGTGAAGGGTGTGCCGAAATCGGCATGCGGTGGGTGGAGTGGACGCATGTTAGCGCGGCCACTGGTGCCTTCGGTGGAGCTCCCTATGGGGCCACGAACCGTGCTACCTATGGGGCCACGAACCGTGTGAGGGGTGTGCCGAAATTTGCATGCGGTGGGCGGGGCGGACGCATCGCATGTGAACGCGGCCACTGGGGCCTTGGGTGGAGCTCCCTATGGGGCCGCGAACCGTGTGAGGGGTATGCCGAAATGGGCATGCGGTGGGCGGGGTGGACACATGTGAACGCGGCTACTGGGGCCTTCGGTGGATTTCCCTGTGGGGCCACGAACCGTGTGAGGGGTGTGGCCGGCATGGGCATACAGTGGGCGGTGTGGACGCATGTGAACGCGGCCGCTGGGGCATTCGGTGGAGCGCCCTGCGGTGGGCGGGTGGACGCATGTGAACGCGGCCACTTGGGCCTTCGGTGGAGCTCCCTATGAGGCCACGAACCGTGTGAGGGGTGTGCCGAAATTGGCAAGCGGTGGGCGGAGTGGACGCATGTGAACGCGGCCATTGGGGCCTTGGGTGGAGCTCCCTATGGAGCCACGACCCGTGTGAGGGGGATGCCGAAATGGACATGCGGCGGGCGGGGTGGACGCATGTGAACGCGGCCACTGGGGCCTTGGGTGGAGCTCCCCATGGGGCCACGAGCCGTGTGAGGGGTGTGGCCGGCATGGGCATACAGTGGGCGGTGTGGACGCATGTGAACGCGGCCGCTGGGGCATTCGGTGGAGCGCCCTGTTGGGCCACGAACAGTGTGAGGGGTGTGCCGAAGTAGGCATGTGGTGGGCGGGGTGGACGCACGTGAGCGCGGCCACTGGGGTCCTTCGGTGGAGCTCCTCATGGGGTCACGGACCGTGTGAGGGGTGTGCCGACATGGGCATGCTGTGGGCGAGGCGGACTCATGTGAACGCGGTCACTGGGGTCTTGGGTGGAGGTCCCTATGGGGCCACGAACCGTGTGAGGGGTGTGCCGATATGTGCATGCGGAGGGCAGAGTGCCGCAATGGACATGCGGATGGCAGAGGCACGCATGGGAGGAGGGAGGAGGGGGAAGAGGAGAAAAGACGGAGGAGAACGCGAAACGCTGTCTCGTCAAAACGAGGCCCCAACACAGGATGGTTGGAAAGTGACCACTTTCACGGATGGAGGGCGGGTAGTTTTCGAAATGTGGTTTTCGACTTAGCGCCGCGCACATTCGTTTGATTAGTTGGCAAAAGTTTCACGGGCTGAGGGCGGGTGGTTTTGACAATGTGGTTTTCGTTTCAACGCCGCGCACATTCGTCTTACATGCACAAGAGTTTAACGCATTGAGGGTGGATCTTTCAAAACGTGGCTCTCGCCGGAGCGCCGCATACAATTGTTTGAAAGCCGTGTAAGGGTTTCACGGATTGAGGGCGGGTCGGTTTCAAAATGTGGTTCTCGCCGCAGTGCCGCGCACGCTCGTTTTAAACATTCGCAAGAGCTTCACGTATTGAGGGTGGGCCGCGAGTTTTAAACATTTGCGCGAGTATCATGGATTCCCATGATTCACCTACGAAATATTGCCTTCTTGATCGATTCGGGATTGCCAGTTCGCAACAGTTACGCTGATTCGCGGCGTTGAAGTCCCAGGAATGGCGTTCTGGCACGGTTGAGGATCGTCAAGGCGCAACAGTCGGGTCCATTCGTGATGTTGGCGTCCCAAGAATGTTTTTTGTTACGCGTCAGGATTTTCAAACGATGATATCCTGACGTAGCATTTCCTCTCTAGTGGAAATGAATAGATGTAGGGGCCTCTGGAGAGGGAGTTCGGGGAAGGGTTTCTTCCAACATTGTTGGTGAGTCTTGGGTTTGCAATGGTCCTCCTCCTCCCCCTCCCCCTCCCCCTCCTCCTCCCCATCCTTCCGTAGCCATTTTGGCTCAAGCCGCTCAGGTCCCAAACCCGCGCGTTCCGTGGACAATGGTGGCGTGGTGCCGCGTGCTGGTGGCTACGTGAGGTGGCAGCTCTTCGTGCGCTTCCACTTCGCATTCCTCCACACCGCGGTCGTGGTGTTTTCTGACGTGCTGCTGGACTTCGGCGAGGTGGTCCACATCGGGTCGGCGCCTAGGCAGGCTGAGCCCCTCGCCCGCGCGGAGAAGAGAGACCTCATCCAAGGCGCAGCGATGGGCCACAAGTTCACCAAGGTTCCAAAAGTGGTCGCCCAGTGGGTTCAATCACAAGTTCCCGCACTCGTGGAGCACCCCCGTCTTATGGTGGCAAGCCATGGCACTTTGGCGCGGCGGCGGCTGCTGAACAACGACCGGGTCGACATCAAGCTTTTCAGCTATTTCCACGCGCTGCCCGCGCTCGACATAGTTGAACCGAAGCTCTTGACGACGAGGCGGCCTCAGCCTCTCCTCGGCGCGCTGATGATGGTCGCCCGTGGCGGGTTGCGACGCAGAGAGCGAGCAACACTCATCATGAGCGCCCTGAATGGGCGAACTGCTTTGACACGGCCAGTCCGGGGCTCCCGACGTCGAGCAAGGAGGAGAAGCCCGAGGGCGACAAGCTGATGAAGCACAAACCCGCCATCAAGAACGAAACCATCGACATGCCGCACGTGCACACTGTCATTAAAGAAGCCGTCGCCCAGCTGATAGCGCATTACGTGAAGAGCGAGACGCCGGCCCAGATAACGACGGTCATGCGTGGTTCGCTGACGAAGGCCGTGAAGGAGTCCCCCCAGCAGCTCGCCATGCTCGTCTCCAAGCGCATACAGCAGAGTGCCCTGGAGATCGCCAAGAACGTCGCCGAACACATTGGCATGCTCTTCGGGAAGTTGTCGAAACTCGAGCTGCAACACGACAGGCTTCAGTACGGCGAGCTGAAAGATGGTCTGAAGGAGTTCTTAGTCACGCTTCTTCTCTTCGAGATGGAAAGTGCGGAGCTACACACACGTCTGGAGTTTCTTGACAGATACTTGCCGAAAGACCTCTCCCCGCCCAACGTGGCCATTGGCTCGACGTGCCGTCGCATCCCTAAGAAGGAGTACGTTGATCCCCGTCGGCACCACATCAAGTCGGATGGGTGCGTGGATCATTTCGGTGCCATCTTGACCAGTATCGTGAAGGCGCATGCAGTGTGTCTCATTTTCATCACCAATGTTCATGTCGTCGTGTTCGACCCGTGCATGTCTTGAGCTGCCCCCGCACGCGGCTCCGCCGTGCACCGTTCCCCTCAGGGTACGTGCGCTCATCCGCCTCCTCCTCCTTCATTTTATCCTCCTCCACTTCCCTCATCCTCCTCCTCCACCTCCTCTTCCTCCTCTTCCTCCTCCTCCTCTTCTACCACCTCCTCCTCCTCCCTCATCCTTTTCCTCCTCCTCCTCCTCATCATCATCCTCCGCCTCGTCTTCCTCCTCTTCCTCCTCTTCCTCCTCCTCCTCCTCCTCCTCCTCCTCCTCCTCCTCCTCCTCCTCCTCCTCCTCTGGGCCCCATTCTGCGCTCAGTCACTTCCGCGTGGTCTCGTCATCGCCCTCCGCCTTGTCCTCGATCCTCCTCCGCTTTCCTGAAGCGCGCCGAGGTGAAGCCGCTGCTGCGCAGCTGGCTCGCGCTGCACGCCACCGACCTCGGGGGCCGGCCGCTTCAAGGCCTCATGTCCGACGCTACGGACCCCGCCGTGGGGTTCCGGGCGAGCATGCGCCGGGTGCCGCGATGGCAGATGGCAGATCAGGCCTCAGGGGCAATCCGTGAGATCCGTGCGTTGTATTGTTGTTGCGATTGCTGTTCTCATCGGGTTTCGGGCCCCGAGAGCATTACAGATCGATCCGGCTCGAAAAATGCAACAGAAAGATGGGGTCGAGGGTTCAAGTCGTGATTTTTCAAAATTATTTTTTCGCAACGTCGGACTTCAGAGACTGCAGGGATGGCAGATCCGGCCCCAGGGGCAACAACGACAGGGGGGGACTGGCCCAGGGGGGGAGCTCAGTATCGTTCAACCTATTCCCATCCCCACCGGGCCACAGTGTTTCGGCCCCGCCATCCCGCCACCCCAGTTGGCGATGGGCCGTTCGAAACCCAGAGGGAACAGCCTCTACGGTGGGGGCGTTGGTTAAGGAATGTGCCCAGGAGGCTTCAGAACCTGGAGGATTCCTTAGCTGATAAGGTCGGCAGCGATATCCATGGCCAACCCACAAGTGGAGTTCCACTGTCTTCCAGACCCTGGATTCCTTCTCCAAGGGTTCCTTAACCCAATGCCCTCACAGTCGCGGCCGCGAGGCCCGCGCCGAGCGCGCGGCGGCGGGGCGCGGGGGCAGTGGACCCCAGGAGGGCGAGCCAGAGCCATGAGTAGCTTGCCCCTGGAGGTCCCGCCCGCGCCAAGCGTGTTCGAACTTGACAAGGGCGCCCGAGCGCCTGCGAAGAGCCAAGTGCCCTCACCGTATCCCCATCCAGGGGGGTAGGTCGGCCAATGGGGCCAAGGCCATGCCAGTGGAACTGGGGATCGGCTGCACGATTCTCGGAAGCGCCGCCCCCCGGGCACCCCTCCCTCGCCGATCTGGGCCTCGCGGGCGCCCCCTGCTTCCTCGCGCCCGGGAGCACGCGGCTTCGTTGTCGGAGTCTTGTCGCCGATCCATCGGCTACTAGCCAGGACGCTGAGATAAGAAACAGTTTGGGTTCGGAAGGGGCTCGATGTTCCTTGGCTTCCTCCAGTGCTGTTCCTCTTGCCCTCCTGGGGCACGGAGGCGGTCACAGTGCCAAGAAGTGGGTTCGTTCCTCATTTGGCGTTCCTTCTCTCCGCGGCCCGACTGTATCGGCGATGCATCGCGGGTCTCAGGTCGATGTCCCAAGCAGCTTCCGATATGAGCCTGGAGTCCCCTTGAGCCAGTCCCCCCTCCCCCCTCCCGGGAGGTTCAATTCAACATCGGCGCTGGTGCACGTGTGCCGAATGCCAATGTCATCCGGTATATGCTTCCCAATTATCCTGTGGTGTTATACCTAAGGCCCCAGCAGCAGCGCCCACTGGGTGGCCCCACCCCGTTTCGGCACACCCTTTACACGCACCGTGGCCCCATAAGGAGATCCACCGAAGGCAGTACCTACAACGGCGATGCCCACAAGTGCAAATGGTTGTGCCCTTCGCCATGATGATTGTTCAATTCTCCTTGATCACATTGAACCCCGCTTAGTCCCGGGCATGAGATTGGGTAAACCAGCTCAATGGCACCTTAATGGGGGGCTTAATCCCCCCAATCGTTATTGCGAAGACCTCCCAGGAGTTGCCACCTGACCCCCCACGAGCCAGTCCGCCAACCTGCCGACCCTCGGGCGGGGCTGGGACCTGGATAAACCGTTCCAGCGCGTTCGGGCACGTTCTCGGAGCGTTCCTGAGCGCTCTGAACCCAGCGCCCGATACATCTTTTATAGCCGCGAGCCTGGAGTCCGTAGAGGGGGCCTGTCCCAAAGTGGGCTTAGGGGGCAAACCCGGTTGAATGCCCACGCTTCTTGCACTTTCCACGGGCCGATTGGAGCGGTGTCCTCTAACCCCACCCCTGCCCCATCCCTCCCTCTAGATCTCCCCGACAGATGCCCGACGTACAGTGAGCGGCTTGAATAAGGAACGCTTACTTTCAAAAGGGGGCTCGGTCGTTCCTTAGGCTTGCATGCGTTATGTATCGCTCCCTATGCGTGATGTATTATTTGTTCATCGTTCCCTGTGCGTTATTCCTTGGAAGAAACGGGCTTCGTTCCTTATTTATCGTTCCTTAGGTCAGGCCGATGACTGTACCCCAGTCCGACCTTCTCCTGGCCCAGGCCTCGTCTCCGACCTCCCCTCGCAGGCCGCGCAGAGCGCCGGCAGCACCGCGGCGAGGGCGCGCGCGACCGCGGTGCCCGGCGGCCCCCCGCCGCTGTCGCCCCGGCGGAGCGGCTGCGACCTCCCTGCGCTCGCGGAGCGCTCCCCCGAGGATCGGGGGAGAAGAAAGCTGCTCCTAGTCCTCCTCGATCGTCAGTGTTTTCCTCCTCCTCCTCCTCCTCCTCCTCCTCCTCCTCCTCCTCCTCCTCCACCGCCGGTACCCAGTGAATACCGCGTTGTGGGTACCGGTTTCGGTGGAGCTCCGTATGGGGCCACGAACAGTGTGAGGGGTGTGCTAAAATGGGCGTCGGGCGCATGCGGACCCTGCCGCTGGGGCCTTCGGTGGAGCTCCCTATGGGGCCACGAACCATGTGAGGGGTGTGCCTAAGATGGGTGGCGGTCCCCGTATGCGGACCCTGCAGCTGGGGCCTTCGATGCAGCTCCCTGCGGGGCCACGATCCTCGTGAAGGGGTGTGTCAAAAGTGTGGCGGTCCCCTGATGCGGACCCTGCCATTGGGGCCTTCGGTGGATCTCCCTATGGGACCACGAACAGTGTGAGGGGTGTGCCAGAATGGGTGGCGGTCCCCACATGCGGATCCTGCTACTGGGGCCTTCGGTGGAGCTCCCTTTGGGGCCACGATCCTCGTGATGGGGTGTGCCAAAAGGGTGGCGGTCCCCTGATGCGGACCCTGCCACTGGGGCCTTCGGTGAAGCTCCCTATGGGGCCACGAACCGTGTGAGGGGTGTGCCAGAATAGGTGGCGTTCCCCGCATGCGGACCCTGCCACTGGAGCCTTCGGTGGAGCTCCCATGGGGCCACGAACCGTGTGAGGGGTGTGCCGGAATGGGTGGGATGATATTGATGAGGTAGACTGCTCATGCCAGACGATGTGTTTTGTGCGGGGGGCCGAGGGTACTCCGACCGAGGACGCAAGCATGCTAGGCACAAATACCGTCAGAAAAGCGAGAAGGACAGAGAGGGAGGGAAGACTTGAGCGAGGTAAACGGCGGCGGATCACGCACGACACCCACAAACGCCTCTTGCAGAGCTAAATGTGGTAGACTGCTTATGCCAGAAAATGTGTTTTGTGCGGGGGGCCGAGGGCACTCCGACCGAGGACGCAAGCATGCTAGGCACAAATACCGTACCATACACGCTAGCTTGGTGTACTGGCCAGGAGGCCGCCCCGAGAACAAAAACATCAACACGAAGCGACAGCTTCATTAATTCTGGCGATCGAGGCTAAACTGCGAGCGCTCCTGAGCGCTGCGTGCACACCCTCAGCGGCCACGATCGTCGGAGTGTGGCGCGCCTGGGCCCTTTGGGCCGCGTCCAGATGAGAAAGCCCGAGAGAGCCCAAATGAAGCTTGTTCGACCTATCACACCTACCACGAGTACACTTGCAACGACTAGACAGCTCGAGAAGGCCATTGACGTGCCATCCCACGAGGCGCCAGGTGCGGTGCATTCGCCCTTCGAACCTACAAGCATCGAAACACGCCTCCGACGAGGCAAGCGGCAGGAGGCGGGTGACGAGTGGGTGGTGCCACAATGCACTGCTAGCAGGATGTTCTAAGATGGTAGGAGCTTTACACTGCACACACACACACACACACACGCACACACACACACACACACACACACGAGCAAAGCCTGCATTAGCTTGTGGACATCAGCATTAGCAACTCTCACACGCGCCCCTAGGAAAGGACTAAGGCCTGGGAGACCGAAAGGCCGAACCGACGACCTGGCAGGGGGCCTGGCACAGACGGACCAGGAAGACAGCCCAGGCCGAAACCAGGACCCCGCAAGACACGAACCGCGAATCCAGCCGTGGACGACGAGCGAGGCATCAGGCGCACACAGGTCGTCGGAGGGGCCGCGGCTCGGGTCCAGGACAACAGTGCCAACGCCCGGTTGGCGACAAGCACTGTCAGTTCGCTCGAGACACGAGCCACACAGCAAGAAAATGAAGCGTGGAGTGGCGACGCTGTGAGCAGTAGCCCTCCTGAAAAGTCTAATCAGCCGAAGCGCCACCAGCCGCTGTGCTGGGGAGGCCGCGTCCGCCTTGCCATCAGCGAGCCCGCTGGGGCCAGCACCAGCGACGGCAGCGAGCCCACCCACGTCGACGCCATCCTCGACATGAGCTCTGCCTCTCGATCCTCCACGGCAGAACCCAGGATCACCACGAGCTTGCGAAGGCCTGCGATCAGCTGCTGCCTGCGGGACCGCGTGGCGTAGCGGCTGAGCGAGACGTCGATGACCCACCCCTCGCGGTCCTTGACCTCCTTCCTCAAGCGATGGCCCGAGAGGAGGTCGTCGGAGGCACGCCCGTGCCTCAGCGTGTGGAGGGTCGAGACGGCGTCCCAGATGCCCGGCTTGACCAGCGCCTCGCGGAAGGCCAGGCAGACCGCCGGCGGTGCGAAGTTCCACAGCGGGTCCTCCGCGAAGCGGCACTGCTTCAAGCCCTGGAGGAGCGGCCACAGGCAAGCGTTGCCCACGATCACGCACTCGTCCGTGACCACCGTCTTCCCAAGGCCGCCCGACGACGCGTCGTTGACGTTCATGCCCCAGGGCTGGCAGCCGTCGGTCGAGCCCGTCCTCGGCTCCACCGGGCTCCCCGTGACGAGCCGATAGGCCTCGCTCGGCCTCGAGTACGTGTCGACAGCGAGCCGCACGAAGACCGCCTCCCCGAACTTCCTCTCCAGGATGAAGAGGCCGACCACTGCGAGCATCGCCAGACGCGGCATCGGGAGCCTCATCTGGGGCGGCCCTAGCCGCGCCCAACCCTGGAGACCCCGTGTGGCCGATGGCGCACGCCTCGGCACCGCCAGCATGCGCGGCATCGAGCGACGAGGGGCTGTCCTCGTCATGCGCCCCGTCGCCGTGTCGAACGCTGCGTCACCTCCGCGTTCTCGAGGCACGGGGTCTCGCCGTCCAGCGGCCGAGCTGCCCCTGGGTGGTGAAGGCCCCTCTGGACGTCCCGGACCAGCACGCCGCTCGGCGGCATGCTCGACCTCTTCGCCGTTGAAGTCTTTCCACGGCCCCAAGAAGAAACCTCCCCGCGAGGGCCCATCTGCGACGTTCGCTCACTCGGGATCCATCGCAGGATGACTCGGATGCCAGTGGTCAGACTGAGCGCGGCGATCCGTCTCAGGATGTGCCGAAGGTGTTGAGAGCCTGAGCGGCCCTTGCCGCAACTAAGAGCCAGAGCCAAACTGTCGACGAGAAATAGAATACGATGCCCGTGATTACGAGAATTTCGAGCAGCAGGCCGCACAGCAAAGCACAGTGCCTCCCCCTCATACTCCAGAATGTTGAGACCATTTCGGCGATGACGACTTGAGTGAATGATAACCGACGTTACCTCGACGAAGTCGGAGTCCGAGGCGATGTCCTCCTCCCCAAGTAGCACGGCCGAAGGCAGCGAGCATCCAGCAGCAGCATCTTGATGACCCGAAAAATCCTGTCCTCCTCCAAACGCATGTGATCTGGCAGAGATGGCCTCGGAAACTCTGTACCCTCATTTCTCGGCAACCTTCTCCGTAGACGAGACGACACCAGGGTCCAACCTTTTCAAGCACACCCCTCCTCCCGCACGGCGAGGCGTCCGACGCATAGCAGTTGCCGAGCCACGGAACGCGCGCCGATGCCCACATCAACGGCAGCAACGCCGCCACGGCTGAGAGTTCTTGTCGTACAGGCACTCTCTCCGCATAGGCATGGTCCACATAGCGTGGCCCAGGACTGACGTGATGGTCCCGCGTGAGGCGGAGCCACGGGCCAGCGAGGCAAGAATGGCTCGGCGCAGCCCGGCCAAGCGGTCGGGTCTCACGCGTAGCTTGCCCGTCTTGCCCGAGGACTGAACGTCCGTGAAGACGCCGTCGGTCTGCGCTTCCGTGAAGTCATGCACCGGAAGGCCCCTCGACGTGAGGAGAGCCGCCAACTCCCGCGCCTTCGCGGTCGCCACCGACGCCGTCTGAGACACGACACGGAAGTTGTCAACGTAGCCTGCCGCCACCAGATCCGTCTTGGAGACCAGCGGCTCAGGGGCAGCCCCGTCGACCAAATGCCGACTGGGCTCGATGCCGACGTCAATCATGCCACACACCAGGGCGGACTGGCAGTAGAACAACGGCCAGCTCCACCCCATGGGCATAACGCGCACGACGGGTTGTAAGATGGTGTGGCCGCCAATGTACATGCCGCCAACCTTCTTCAGCCCGATGAAGCGGTTCGAGATCGGCGGCAGGCGGAAGTAGTCGCCGACACCGCTCGGAATCGCCAAGTGGTAAAAGGCACACTGGATGTCGCCCTGGGCCACGTAGAAGTCGTCCGTCGATTCGAGGGACGCCCAGGCCGACGGCGTCGGCAGCACCGTGGTCGGGGGAGACTTGAAATAGGTGTTCGCAACCCTCGTGTCGAACACCAGGCGGAGCTTGCCCCCCGCCTTCTCGACGAAGAAAATCCCGACAGAATAGGAAGAAGAAGAGCAAGACACCACGCTCCACTCAATCATGTGGTGGCGCAGCATCGCGTTTAAAAACTCAGCATACTTCCGAGGATTGCGCAGCTGCGGGTCGACGCAAGGTTGATGAACACCCAGCGTCTCCTGCAGCTCGTGAACCTCGGCATCGGATCTCAGCATACTCTGCCTCCAACCCTCCAACTGGACGGCATCGGCCTGCTGCACGACAGAGGACACCTGAACGGGAGGCCCTGTGAGCGCGGGCCAGGCCACGAGGGCCTTGTCGAAGGGTGTGACCCGTGAGCTGTTCTGGTAGCCTGGGGTCGTGGCGAGCACCTCTGCGAGGGATGCTTCACAAAACCGTCGTTGCTCACTGTAGCCAGCAGGCAACTCGAAACTGCGGTACTGCTCTTGCAGCTCCTCGATAGCGACACGCTGGGCCAAAGAAGCGTTCCCCGCCACACCGTCGCCAGGAGCCCCCTCAGCGCGACCATGGAGCCAGTCGAGGGCGTCGGCGCCCTCGTTGCACCACCGGCGCCAGGCCGCACCTCGGGCAGCGCGCTGCCGGGGTCGCCGACCAGAGACCGCGTGCAGCCTCGCGTCGACGTCCAGCAGAGGAAGCGGCAGGGCATCCCGCTGACGCTGGCGAGGGGCCCGTGGTACACCCAAGCCAGGCGGAGGCCCGATGGGCCTGGGGCAAGACGAGCTGGGCAGCCCTGGGGCTGGCCCCCCCCAGCTCGCGTCCGTCGGGGATGTCATGGCGCCCGCAAGGCGCGCTCCTCACGCGCCTTGCGTCGGACTTTGGTCACCACCGCCTCGTTCTTCATCTGCTCTGAGAGGTAATGCATCAGGGCGGAACGGATGCAAAGGTTGCCCTTGGCCTCACCGATGCCAAGGAAGTGGCCGACCTCGATGGACAGGGGATCCTGGCCAGCAACCCCCTTCTTGCCCTGGCCCTTCACGGCCGCGGCGGTCCTGCGGGTCCTCTCGTCGTAGACCCTCTCCTCGATGAGCTGCGGCTGCATCGCCAGGTACTTGAAGCTCGCCAGCTCCGTGAGGACCGCTTGGTCGTACACCAGCGCGGTCTCGATGACGCGGCAGATCATCTCGTGCTGCATCGCTGTCTTGTCGTGCTCCGCGGCGGTCATGACGGCCAGCCGGCGCGTGGGCCATGCCCCCGCGCCTCCCGCCATCTTGAGCATGGAGCTGAGGACCCAGAGGAGCGTCCGAGGGCTGAGGACGGGCCAGCCGTCGCGCCCGAGCTCGGCCTGCTCCTTCAGCGCGTCGCCCCGAGGGTCGGCGAGACCCGACGCGGGCGACTCCACTGCCAGGGCGGACGGCGCGGCGGAGACCCGCGGCCCAGCAGCGGGAGGTGGGGACCCAGCCTGCGGGCCGCGGAGCGGCAGCAGCCCAGGCGACATCCCGAGCACGTTGCCGTCGCCAGGGTGCAGACTGAAGTCGTCGGCGGCCCCCGCGCCAGCTCCCCCAGCAGCGGTGCAGCGCAGGGTGTCCCAGCCTTCTTCTGCCGAGGGCAGGCGCCTGAAACGGTAGACGCTGCCTGCCGCCCCCCCGTCGACGGCAGCTCCCTGCCGCACGAGCAGCTCGAGGCGAAGACCGTCGCGAGAGGGAGCCTGATCTCCAGGATGCACATCGAGATCGGGGGTCATGATGTAGGGGCCCATGGATCACCAGCCGTTCGTGCCAGATCTCACGCCCTGGGACATCGCACCTGACCGCGCAGAAGCTGCCTGGCACCAGCGCCATGGCCTCGGCGGCCGATCGCGGCCCTGTGTGGCGCCACCCGCGCCTGCTCCACCGCTGCCCCTTGAAGTCGGAGCCCGCGCCGTCGAACTGCGGGCCCTCGCGGATGACGAAAGCCCCCGTGATCGCGATCCCCACCACGAAGCCGAGCGAGAGTCCCAGGGTCCAGATCCAGCCAGGGCCCGCTCCGAAGACCCAGTCGACAGATGTCTTTTCCCCGACAAGCAGGAGCAGGAAAGGGGAGGCCACGTCGGCGTGGGAGGACAGGAGCACGCGGGGCACGGATCAGCAGCGGCACGCACTATCACTGCCGTCTGAAGAGAGCGGATGAGATCGGGTTCCGCATCTGCAAGGAAGGCTTACATCCCCTGAAAGACTTGAGCGAGGTAAGCGGCGGCGGATCACGCACGACACCCACAAACGCCTCTTGCAGAGCTGAATGACGACGATGACGATGACGAGGCGGATGGGAAGAAGGAGGAGGGGGAAGAGGAGGAGAGGAGAGGAGAGGAGAGGAGAGGAGAGGAGAGGAGAGGAGAGGAGAGGAGAGGAGAGGAGAGGAGAGGAGAGGAGGAGGAAGAGGAGGAGGAGGAGGAGGAGACGCGGGGCGCTGTCTCGTCAAAACGAGGACCCAACACCACAGGATGGTTGAGAGCAAGCTGGAGGTTCTTTCGCCTTTTCAACACCCGGAGGCCCTTGCCAGGCCCCAGGGCCGCCAAAAACGAGTCAGGAGGAAAACCGGCCCTCGGGAAATGGTCGGGATGTCCGGGGCCCCCGCATTGAAAAAAACAAGGCATCAGGTCCTTGCGGATACAGCTACCCTGCCATGAGTTTCCCCTGTCTGGGTCTGCTGGGAGGTCCCCTCTTCACCACGGCCGGATTCTCCTCCCAACCGTGGTAAGGACACACCCTGGAGAGAGGTCCGGGAAGTGGCGGTGTCAGCACCTTTTTGGGGTCTCCCCCGAAGAGGAGCCCGCGGTCAGCATCGTCGCCTAGGGGGGGGCAAGTCGGCCAGCGGGGCCAGTGAGTCCGAGGAGGGCGCGTCGAGACAGCGGTGGCCGGTTGGCCGTCCTTCGGGGGGGCGGCCCCGTCGCCACGGCGGGGCGCAGCTTGCGCTCCGACTCCGGGAGGGGTCTTGGGACCGACGTCGAGCTGCCGCTGCCTCAGCTCGCCCTGCTCCGAGTGAGGGCGCCGTGGCCCGCCCATCGCGCGACGTCTCTCCCCCCTCGCTGCCCTCGAGCCTCGTGGGGCGGGCGAGAAGCAGAGCAAGGCGGAGGGTTGTGGCGCCATGTTCAGCCTCCGGGGGCCCTCGCCAGGCCCCGGGACCGTTCAGCGCAGACGCGGGATGAAGAGCGGGCTCTGGGGACAGGGTCGGGACCTCGAGGGGCCCCGTGTTGAACAAAACGGCGCCAGATGACTGGGTCGGTCTTGCCAGGGAGCGAGGAGGAGAGAGGGCGCATTTGGCCATCAGTGTTGTACAGGGGGGTAGTTTGCTAAAGCGCGTACTCTGTGCAGGGTCTGGGCGGACGCTGCAAGGCTTGCGCGTTCGCAGCGCAGCCAGCGGCAGTTTTTTTCTTTGCGGCGGAAGGGATTGCTCTTGGGATCCTGATCTGCCACGCGAATCCGCCACCGCGCTCGAGCGGCCGCCTACTGGACGGGGTGGTGGCCGGAGCGGGGGCCCGGGGCTTTGTCTTTGCTTCTCTTCAGCCCGCCCCCTGACGCGTTTCGACCCAGGCATGCGGGACGCCAGCGACGACCCCCACGTCGAGCGCGTCCGCGCACCTGCGCATGCGCCGCTTTGGCACTTGGTTTGACCGCAGGCATGGGCGGGCCAGCATTGGCCAGTTTTTGTTGGCCACTGTCGGGTGTGGTGAGGCCCCCTTGCCGGCAGCAAGTGACAGACTCTGCCAGCAGGCACATGCCAGGTGGCCGCGTGCCGCCTGGTCGCGGGACAGGCTCGCACGATGCAGGCTCGTGACCGTGTGTCCGGTGGTGGAAAGCTGCTGCCACGACGAGCGCCTGGCGAAGCCAACAGCTGCCCCTGGAGCGCTGGGTTCGCGGGGCAGGCTTCTTGCTCGAGGGGGGTGGCTGCGTCACGAGCACGGGAGGGAGGAGCGGAGCGGGAGAGGGAGCGGCGCGCAGTTGGCACACGCCTGCGGACAGCGCAGCATCAGGGCGGGGTGTGCTCGGGAGGCTGCAGAAACGATCCAGACACACAGAGCCCAGGGCGCACGGGCATATCGATCGTAGCGACGGCAACGCCAGCAGTGCAATAGTGTTCACGAGATCGCGGTGGTGATCATGCGTGCGCCAGGCACGACAAGGACACCCGATCGTCCTACTTGATTTTCCAATGCACTTCGAAAGTGCCCAATGTATTCCACCTTTGGCGGACCAAGGGATGGTTCCAATACATACTTCAAGACTGTTAGGTGGCCGCTCTGAGTCCTTTAATTTCGTGCCGTCCGCGCCTTCCCGAGCGCTTGGCTCTGGTGGGGAGTAGCAGGGGTATCAGACTGACGCTTTTAATTGTGACAACAGCAGCCCGTCAAAAAGTACTCTCTGCCCAGTCGCCTCCCTTGGGGCCAGGCAGGGGGTGTCCCTCGCCCCGCCCCCGTTCGTCCTCCTCCTCGTCCTCCGCTCCCTCTTCTCCCATCGGCCCGCGCGCCCCTTTGACAAACAATTTGGCCCACCCGACCACGTTCGGTCCATCCATCACCTCCGACCCATCCGACCCCCCCACCCCCATCTCGTTCTGGCAAGAAGCTCCTCCCCCCCCCACCCCGCTCGCCTCCCCCCCCACCCCCATCTCGTTCTGGCAAGAAGCTCCTCTGTCTCAGCTCCGTCTTCCGATGCAGCCCGAGCGCACCCAGTTCCGACCCCTCTCCTCTTCCCCCAACCTCAGGCGCGCAGTTGCTCATGCAGGCTCAGCGTACCACCGTTGGATGCAGTTGGTCCCCCTCCCCTGAGATCCGATGTCGCGAACGAATTGCAGCATCACGAAAAATCTCGACATAAGCCCTGGACCCAATCCGCCTGCGGTTTTTATAGCCAGATCGATTTGCGAGGCTCCCCAGGCCCGAGACCCGGCGAAGACGCATGGTCTGAAACAGCATGCAACGCCCGGATGCCAGGGGATCTTTCTCTCACAGGCGGCTCTTGCCCAGCACAGCCCTTGTTTGGAGCCGAGAAGGGTCCGAGGAGAAGGAGGAGAAGGAGGAGGAGGAGGAGGAGGTGCAGGATGACAAAGAGTAGAAGGAACGGCAAAAGTAAGGAACGAAGAGGAGGAGGAGGAGGAGCGTTCGCATTGGGCCTGGTCGTAGCCTCTGTCCTGCACTTCCTGGAGTCTCGACCCCATGCCCTTCCGCGTGCTGTGCTTGGGCTTTGTCAGAGTCGTGTTGCTGGTCTTTCACTGCGCGATCTTGCTGGTCTTGCCAGATCGGCCTGGCAGCATGTCGAAGACATGAAGAGGGTTGTGGTGTGTCGTTGATGCCATCGAGGGCAGGCATAAATCAAAGACGTCTGGTGGGGCAGATGGGTTCTCGCATCCTTGAAGGCGGTGCTCGTGAAGGCTCGGAGGGTAAACCCACTGGTCCCGGAGCGTGTTGCTGGGGCCGTTGTTGGCAGGTGGTGCAGGTGGAAGGCAAGAAGGAAGAGGGACAGTAGGACATTAAGGAGAAGGAGCAGGGAGGAAAAGGAGGACGAGGGCGAGAGCCCAGGCATCGCACGACGTGTTTTTACAACTCCCTGGGGACATCCATGTGTTATGACTGATCCGTTTTTAGTGGCCCCAGGGCCCGAAAACAGCCCCCAGGCCCAGATGCCGAAATCGAGGGAAAAACCTCGGGAGTGAAAATTTCAGATCGTGGGAGACTTGTGAAGGAGGGACAGAAGCGGAGGAGGACCGATGAGAAGAAACGAGGAGGAGGAAAAGGAGCAGGGAGGGAAGGGAGGACGAAGACGAGGACGAGGATGAGAGAGGAGGAGGAGGAGAAGGAGGAGGAGGAGGAGGAGGAGGAGGAGGACTAGAGGAGGAGGACCAGAGGAGGAGGAGAAGGAGGAGGACCAGAGGAGGAGGACCAGAGGAGGAGAGGAGGAGGAGGAGGAGGAGGAGGAGGAGGATTAGAGGAGGAGGACCAGAGGAGGAGGAGAAGGAGGAGGACCAGAGGAGGAGGAGGAGAGGAGGAGAAGGAGGAGGAGGAGGAGGAGGAGGAAGAGGAGGAGGAGGAGGAGGAGGAGGAACCGCGGAGGGGGAGGAGGACCCCCGCACGCCCCGAGGCGCCGGCCGCCCCGAGGCGCCCGCCTCCGCCTCGCGAGGTGCTTCCGCGCGCCCTTCGCGCTGACGCGCCATAGGGAGCGCGGCGCGGCGCCCGGCGCTCGCTCGAGCGGCGCGCCTGGCCGGCGCTGCGCCCCGCCGCGGCCGGGGGCTCTCCGCCGCGGCGGCGGCGGCGGCAGTCCTCGCGGCAGTGCTCGCATGCTCGCCCAGTGCTCAGCCACGCGCAGAGGGGGGTGGGGGGAGGGGGGAGGGCTTCTTAGAAGCACCCCTGCTTCTTAGAAGGCGCGGGCCTTATCTGCAGATGTAAGGCCAGCGCCTTCTAAGCAGCAGTCTCCTTCTAAGAAGCCCTCCCCCCTCCCTCCACCCCCTTGTGCGCGCCGCCAAAGTACCCCACAGCGCGGTCCGACACCACGGACCCTGCTGTCGGGTACCGGGCGAGCATGCGCCCGGTGTCGCGCCGGCAGATGCCAGATCAGGCCTCAGGGGCAACCCCATGCGATCCATGCGCTCCCATGCTTTCAAAGCGGCAGTTCTCGTCAGGTTTCGGGCCTTGGGGGCCATCACAGATCGATCTGGCTCGAAAAATGCAACGAAAAGATGGGATCTACGGCTCCGGTCGTGACTTGTCACGATGTTCCATTTTTTTCGCAACGTCGGATCTCAGAGACGGCACGGATGGCAGATCAGGCCTCAGGGGCAACAACGTCAGAGGGTGATCGGCCCAGGGGGAGGAGTTCAGTATCGGTTAACCGATCCTCATCGCCATTCCGATCCCCACTATCCACAGCCCATATCCCCGTCTACGGGGGTAAGTCGGCCAGTGGCCAGTGGGGCCCAGGTCACGCCCGTGGGGGTACGGATCGGTCAAGCGATGCCCGTCCGCCGCGGCTGTGGCGGAAGCTGAGCGGAGACTCGCCCCGCGCGCCGCTACTCTCCTCCGGAGGAGGAAAAAATGATTATTCATTGGCTGACGCCGCTCCGCCGACCCCTTGGGGCGGCAGTACGAGTGAAAAACGGAGTTTACGGAACGCGCGCGATTTCTGGGGAATCTTGGGGTTTCAGCTTCTTGGGATTTCGTCGGGGGTGGTTGGCGGATCGCGGCTCTGCTTTTGGGCTTATTTGGGCTCTCCTGGCAGCACTTTTGAGGCCTCTTGGGAGCCGTTTGATGCCTCTAGGAGCCTCTTTTGGGCCTCTCGGGGGCCTCGTGGGAGCCTCTTGGGGGCCTATTGGCGCCTCCTCTGGTTTTTTCGGGGCCAAGTGCTCGAAATGATCATTCGGGTTCCCCCTCTGGGCCTCCTCGTGGGGCCGTCCTGGGGCCCTCCTGGGTCGTTTTGGAAGCTTCTGGGGCCGTCTTGGGGCCCTCTTGGGCCGTCTTGGAGCCCTCTCGGGGGCTTCTTGGGCTATCTTGGGTCGATCTTAAAGGCTTCTTGGGCCGTTGTGGGCCTCGTGAGAGCCCAAGAGGCGAATGTGCTAGAAGTATACGTTTCCCCTCAGGAATGGGACGATTTTTGCTTCTGGAGAGCCTTTTGGGACGCCTCTTGGTGGCTTCTTGGGGCGTCTTGGGGGCCTCTGTGACCGTCTCGAGGCAATCTTGGGCGTCTTGGAGCAATCTTTCGGCGACTCGTAGCCCTCTTGGACTGTCCGGGGGGCCTTTTGGGGTCCTCTTGGCCCGTTTTGGGGCCCCCTGGGGCTCCAAGGGTGCGGCCGGCACTTTTGCCTCCCCCCCCCCTCCGAACCGGCCGGACTGGGCTCCCGGGGGATGGGTTCGGGGAGGGGGAAGCATCTCACACGCCGTGACCCTAAGGGGTCGGCGGATGACCGTAGCTTGGAGCTGGCTGGAGGTCTGAGGTGGTCCAGCATTGGTTCGGGCCAGTGGGAGGGGGTGGTGAAGTTCGGGGTGCTGTGTTCGACAGGGTTTTCTGGCTTTTTCTTCCTCTGGGGGCCGTTTTCGGGCCCCAGGGCCGTCAAAAGCAGATCTTGGGTGAAACCTACGCCAGGTGTAGACCCCAGGACGGGTCCGGGGACCGATTCCGACTAGATTTCCCATAGACCTCCTTCCTTGACCTGTTTCTCGAGGTCCATTCAGTTGACACCCCCTTGCCACCTACAAACCGTAGCCCCTGCAGCGCACCGTACGGTCAGGAACTTTGGCTTAGCATGTCGCGCCGCCGGTTCTGGGCCACCACGCTTCGGCGCGACGCGCTATCCATGTCCCAGTCCGCGAGCGTCATCGTTCTGAGTTGTTTCCGGCCTCCCGCCCCGCGGAAGCTTGCAAGGCATAGCTTGTCCCCAGGGCCGCCGTCGCGACATGCTAAGCAAAAGTTCCCGACCGTAGCCCCCGCAGTTGCAGATAAGAGTGAGGAGACGACGGGGTCGTCGGCAATTTGCGAGGCTCTCAAAAGCCCGCCGCAGGCGCTGACTTGTTACACATTTCGCAACGAGACCGCCACAGGCGCCGAATTTCCTTCAAAGCACTGCTGAGGATGGATCGCGGGCGTATCGCGGGTGTGTCGCGGGCGGGTCCCGGGTGGGTCGTGGGCAGGTCGCGGGCGTGTCGCGGGCGAGGACGACGACGAAAACAGCAAATACAACAAAAAACAACAATATAAATAAGAAAGCAAGTTTAACATAGGAATAATAATAGCACGATTGTTAAGACGATATAGAACAAGTATAAAAGCAATAGCCATCAATAACAAGAATACGAACAACAACAACAACAACAACAACAACAACAACAACAACCACAACAACAACAACAACATCATCAACAACAATCAGTTTAAGATGTTTCGCTCCTATCTGCCCACGTGCCAACCAATAC